GATTAACTCATTGACAAACTGATTGACTGACTGATTAATTTGCTTATGATCTGACTCATTCACTATATGACTGATTGATTGGCTCCATAAGTGATTGACTCATTAACCAAGTGACTGATTGATAACTGAGAACTAATATATCAAATAATGGAGAATCTCAAAGACTGATTGACGGATTTACTAGGAGACGGATTCCTTAAGGACTCGACGACTGATTGATTGAATGATAGTTTAACTGACTGATGAATACAGTCACTCGTGAGGATTACCCAAATATTTTGTTTATTTTCTACTCATAATACTCCTGTTATAAAATACATTTACTCGACAGTCTATTGTATACTACATAAGAGCAATTCCAATAGGAGAAGCCTCTAGTTAGTAGAACAATTCGGAACTAAAGTCAGTTAATCTGCTCTGCTCCCAACTATGTTTGGCTTAACTAATGAATGAGCAAACATTAAGCTCACATGTTTGCCGAGCTGTCCCCGCTTGGATGGATGGGGCAGACATAATTAAACAAAATCAACCGTCAGATGCTGAACACAAATTGTCAATTAAAAGGTATTTAAACATAATACCCAGGTCAGGGCCTGCGTCGAGCGTTTAATCCACGTAAATTAGTGCAAAAATCAAGTGGATGCGATACCTTTGCCGCTGCTGGCCGTGCTGACGGCGCCAAACAGCCCAGCCGGCCAGCCCACATGGCCCCCTCCGACCGCTTGGTCCACCCGACGCCCAGGCCGTTGTGGTGGCACACGGTAAGCACGATGGCATTGGCATTGGTGGCAACCGACACCAATAAAGCCAACAAAGCGTTTTTAGGGTTAAGTCCATGTCAAAGTGTCAGTTTAGTATCGGTATCATGTCATGTTGTTCCACAGATTGCCACGGCCTCTGCCTGTGTGCGTGTGTGTTTAAGGGAGGGGGAGTGTAAGAGAGAGTGGGGGCTGCTGTGTGCTAGGCATGGGGTTTTAATTTCGTGTACGGCAGCGGCAACATGATGCCAAACGTGTGGTAGCCCAAGCCCCATCTCCGGGCTGGCTGTGCGTTGAGGTGCAACGTTTTACTAATGAATTTAACAAGGCTCTGCCGTCTGGACAGCACGAGGGCAAGTTGCATGCAGCACGTTGCACGTTGCACGTTGCATACTCATTAAAACGTCACTGCAAATGGAGTTGGAGTTGGAGCTGGAGCTGGAACGGAAAGCTGAAAACTGTTTGCCCCAGACTGGCATCAGCTGCACTTTGTTGCCTTTCTGTTTATCCAGCCAACATATTTTTCAAATGTTTCGTTTTGCATAAGTGAAAGGCCAAAAAGGAAGATAACCACGGCCATGTGGCCATGCACACACGACATTGGCGTCAACAACAACAACAACAACAACGACAATGATAGCAACCTGGGGCAGGCAGTCAACAATGGCGCGCAAATTTACGGCTCACCTACGCGACTAGAAGCAGCAAAGATGGCAACATTCTTTGAGGGTTTGAGGCTGGACAGCTGCCACACACACACACACACATACATTCATATGTGCTTGTGTGTGCGTGCGGCTTATTTAAGCTTGTTTTTATGCGCCATGGCCCAGGTTGCTGTTAATCCAATAAAATTGCGTAATTAAATTTGTGCTTCATTTGGCGTTTGTCATGAACAACGTTGTTGCTCCCCCTGTTGTTGTTGTTCGTTTTGTTTTTGCCACTGTTTGTTGTGGTGACAAATTTAAAACCTGTTGTCATTGCCACATTGAGGGTGGCAGAAGCAGCGACGGCGGCAGCGGCTAAGTCAACCCTTCCGTGTATCGCAAAAAAATCGCTGTACATGTCGTAATTTTTCAATTGTTGCATAATTGAAGGCAACGAGCACACACAGCACACAGCGTCGAGGACAATGCCTCACGTGTGGCAGGCGAAATACCAAAAAAAAAAAAAAGTGAAAATATTGGCAGCCAATGGCAAATTGTCGAAGCTGCCCCCAATGCGGCTCACACACATATCGAGGTGTGGCCATTGACTGCGTGTTGATGTGTGGTTATGTATGCCTTCCTTTTTTTGCTGCATTCTTTTTTGCCGCACACTAGGGAAATATATGTAATTGCGTGTGAGTGTGTGTGTGTGTGGAAAAACGATTTTTAATTGTTGAATGTTTTGCGTTTAACCGCAGCACTGAAATTATGCAGGCATTGTCTGATAAAGTTCGTATAGACGCAATTGTGAATTTGATAAGGCCGCAAGACGATTGACTGCGTCACACGTTGCACGCAATTTCCGCAGGAAGTGTGCGTGTGCGTGTGTGTGTGGGCGTGTCTGCGGCAAGCAACGGGCCAGATAACATGCACCCAGACGAACTGCAATTGCCGCCAAGCTGACTCAAGAGGCCGCTGACTTTGCAGCGCTGGTGATAAAAGTTTCTTCCAGTTCTTTTCCCTTTCGCTTGCATTCGCTGGCTTTCAACGTTGCAAGTTGCAACGTGCGGCAAACATGAAACAAGCAACTCAAGTGCGCAGCAATCTAAACGAGGCATAGTTTCAACTACTACGCCAAGCAGGCCTAGTGCCAACCAACGGCCAAGTGCCAAGCACTGCCCGTCACTTTTACGCCTTATCTGTCGCCGTCCCCGTCGTCCGATAGGTCTGGCCAGCCCCAGCCCCTCTCCTACTCCCAGCCTCAGTCCCAGTCTCAGTCCCAGTCTCTGTGTCAGCTGTCCCCCATTGCCGGCTRGTAGCATTTGCGTGTGCTCTCGTTTCGCAGCTTCATTCAATCAGCGCGTCTGTTAGATGGAAAACCGCTACGAAATCTTTTCTTCATTTCATGAAATGTTTTCTGATAAGCGCAACTGCGTCAAACGAAAGCGTTGCTTGTGGCACGCATTTCTTTTGATTTCATTTTTTAAAAAGATACCCTGTACAGAGTTGTGAAATGGTGAGTGTGAATAGTGAGATCTTCATAGTGAGCGCAATGGAAGGTAAAAGGTATTTGGATAGATTGATGAATATGAATATTAACTTGAAGCTTGATTTCTAAATCTTTTTTAAACTTGCTATGCAGTGTAAATAGTTAAGTGTAATTTTCGTAAATTTTGCACACCTGGTTAAGTTGATTATCAAGATTCAGCAGTCAGTAAATGAAAGCAGACCTCGGATTGGAGGTCTGTTCTAATCCTACCTTGGCTACTTTAATAAAATGAATTTACATTTATAAATAGAACTAAATCTGCTTCTGTCTGTTTAGCTATATTGAGTATAAACATAATTTTGGCTTAAGTGGAATATACAATATTTATAGAGCATCTTCTAGTCAAAATGCCCAACATTGTCTTACATTCATCTCAATTTATTTTTTATAAATATTCATTTGGGAACGATTAAAACGAATACGTATACTCGTATATCTACATATGTACTTGCATGATGAAATGTAATTTAGCACATTTTGGAGAAATGTGACAAAATTTGAGGAACTGTAAAAAGCTGTCGCCCGCTGTGGAAATGGCTTTTGCTTTTTGCTTTGACTTTGGCTTTGGCTTTAATTAAAAAGTTGCGCTTTGAGCCCGGCGACAGGCCAAAACATTTTCATATATGTATGTGCATATATTCATATTTTGATGGCGCTGTGGCTGTGATTGCTTAAAGCTGCAACAGCGACAGCTGCTGCTGCTGCTGCTGTTGCTGTCGGTCAAGTAAATCGAAAAGCAAATGCACTGAGCAATATTAGTATGTGAAAGATATTAACAGCATACTTGGCATAACAATATGGCCATATAAGACGATATAGCCCGAGACACAACCCAAGCCAGAGCCAGAGCCAGAGCCAAAGGCAAAGGCAGCAACAGGAAACAATTTTTCATAGAATTCCAGTTTTTATTAGCCGCCCACTCTAAACAAATGAGCGGGCAACAACAACGATTCGCTTTATATGACTATGCAGCAGAGTCCTCTGCGGCATGCTTGCATTTTTGCTTAGCGACTGGCTTGGCCTGGCCAGGACTTAGACATGCCCTGGCATGTCTCATAAGACAATATAAAGTATGACAGCCATTTGGCAACACTTTGCGGGCCGTTAGCAGCGTCACCAAAATCCCCCCAGCTCTAGCTCCTCTCTTATGCCAAGAGCAGCCCGAACAGCCCGAGCTGCCCGAGCAGCCGAGGCCAAGACAACTTTTTAAATTGTTAATGCGAGCGCTCAGACAAAAGAGCTGTCATAATTCGCAGCAAAATATTGTCAAGCAACTTATGTGGAAGTACTTACATGATGCCAATTTACAACGCCTGGCCAAGACATTAGCCATTATGTGCCATCTCAGCCACTCTTGGCCCGCCTCTGCGCCGGAAGTGCGCGCCATTTTCTAATATCGCAACGGATGTAATTAATATGCGCAATGAATGTGCCAACAGCTCATCCACAATTGGCCCAATCCTAATGGCCATTACACTCGCATAATGCGCGATAATTGCTAGAATCTATTTACTACATATATAGAAGGAGATGAAACATCTCAAAGAAAGCTTGTGACAATGTAACAGGCGGAAGGAGGCGTGGCAGAACCCCCTAAAGTATATATTCTATAAAGTATATATTCTTGATCAAGGCGAGTTGAGCTGAGTCGATTTGGCCCTGTCTGTCTGTCTGTCTGCATAGAAGAGCTGAAAACTTAAAATTTTTATGTGTGTACTTGTATATTCAATACGGAGTACGACTTCATCATATCTTTTCTATGACCCGTGTCATTTTTTGATTATCGATAATTTGATTTAGCATCGTAGAATGATCTCCTAGTCGAGCAGACTCGATTACTATTAGTTTTTTCTTGCTATATATTTTATTTACTAAAGTTTAATTTTGTTAAATGAAAACCGCTAAAAATCTTAATTTTGTGTAAGATTTCGCCTTGATACGAGCTTTGCTGCTCATATCAAAATTCACAAAATTCCATTGTGAGAAACAGAGGCGCCTGGCGCTAAGCGTCACATTGAATATTTTTTTAAGCATAGTATACCATTTGAATAAGCAGAATTTTTAAAATAAAAAATACATATTACATTAAATTTCGTTTGTATGTGAAGAACTTGTGTTATTTATAGAGTTTGTTGCTTTGGTTAATATTGCAGAATCATGGCCACTGCCATCCGAATGGACAGGGACGCACTTGTCAGATTCAGTGCTTCGTACATGTACTATGTTGAGAAGCACAAGCTGTTGGACATCATGAGCCGCATCCTGGCAGAGGCCACTGTGCAGCAGATTGAGGATGTGCGCCGTTGGCTGGGCGAGAACATACGGCATATTGCCCAAGAGATCTACTCGAAGGCCATGAATGCCTTTCATCTGGGCATCGATGCCGACTACTATCAGCTGCCCAAGAACTTCTATCATCGCATCGTACTGCACGGACGCGTCGGCTCGGGCCGTCGCTCGCTGGCCCATGTGCTGGCCCAGCGCTGGAATCTGCTGATACTGGATGCCGACACGCTGGCCTATCATCACATCAATGGACAAGCGCGGGGCAGGAAGGTGCCGCTGCTGCAGGAGGGCATCGAGAAGCGCTCGGTCTATAAGATATCGGAGGCCATTGGCAACATCATACAGAAGCGTCTGCTGCAGGAGGACGCACTGCATCGCGGCTGGATACTGATCAACTATCCCAATAATAGATGTGAGGCTCGCGAGCTCTTCGAGACCTTCAGCGTGCCGCCGAATCGGCTCATTTTCCTGCAGGTCGACGAGCAGACGGCACGCATGCGCCTGCTGATGCGCAAGTACGCGCCCTGCCCGCAGGACAACATCACCTACATGGACTACCAGATGCAGCAGTTTCGCAAGAGCGAGCCCCTGCTCAACACCTATCTCAGTCATCGGCGCGAGGTGCTCTATGTGGATGCCACCGAGTGCTTCGAGACCGTCAAGTGCTTCATCATGTCACAGCTAACCAAGACGCCCTACATGCTCGGCTACAAGTACGGCGAGAGTAGTCCAATTGACTAAATTGTCCCCGGCTCCAATTACCAGCTCCACTTTCACATAAATTATTGAATCTGTATGCGAGCCACAACAAAGTTGCCTCCACATAAAAAATAGAAGAGAACGGTATTCCATAATTTCCTATGTCAGTGCATTGTTTACTACTCGCTCAAGTGGATGCTGTGGTTGCTGCTGCTGTTGTTGTTGTTGCTTCTAGAGTCGGGGCGTAAAATGCTGTGCTTATCAGCTTTCTTTTGCCTCGACAACAATTCTCGAACAGCCCTCCGAAAAGCGTAAACATTTTTCGTTTAGGTAAACAACAAAAAACGAAACGARACGAAAAGAAAGTGATTTGAAATTATTGCTATTTGAATTTTCCATCATGAAAAAGGAAAACACAACGCGGAAAAAACTGTAGAAAAACAATAAAAAGAAAAACAAATGATTTTATGACCACAACTTAAGTGCTCAATTTTTAATTGTTTGACGACGCTGATAAGTAGCCGAGACAAAAATTGGTCTGAATGAATGGAATGGCGAGACGGGGCTGGGATTGTAGCGCGGGGGCTGGGGCTGGGGCTGGGGCTGGGCTGTTTTTATGGCACCCAAAAGTTCAATCAAAGTTTTTTACTCCCTGTTGACTTAACGCCGCCTGGCCGCAGGGCTCAGCAGCATTTCATTAGCCTCGCAGGTTGTTGGCAATGACGCAATAGGCCGTGGTCCACAATCCCATTCCCACTCCACAGCTCATTCCCAATGCCCCAGCGTCCTATAGTCTAAATGAGACACTGCTCGAACATAATTAAAGCAAAAGCAAAGCACAAGAAGCAAACACTAAATTTATTAAGCAAAAACTGCGTTTTATTGCACCACCAATGCAGCTGAGCTTAGCGCACCACCTTGATGTCGATATTGAAGCAGCAGCGTTTGCTGCTCACCGGATCCTTGAGGGCCCAGCGTATGGTGTAGGTGCTCACTGGGAACTTGGACTCGATGGGCACTTGGATGGCGTAGGTTTGCTGAACGCCGGCCTTCACGGGGCAGCTGGTGGACTTGCAGGCATCCTGCTCCAGGGTGACCAGGGGCAGCAGCTCCGTTTCGCTCTTCACCCAGTTGAGCGAGGCGTCCAGTTTCTCGGCGTCGAACTTTGGCGTAAACTTGAAGGTCATATCGGCCGGACGACGGCGGCGTATGCGACAGGCCGTATTTTCCAGAGCTTGTGGGCACGGATCCACACGGACCTCATCAATCGAGCACTGCTCCTCGGTTCCCGTGCAGGTGTGATAGTTAATTACCTCTGCATTGGCCAGTGCGACCAGCAGCAGCAACAGCAGCGACAGCGACATCGCAGCGGTGTTCGACATGGTGCCTTGAGCGTTGGGAATGGAATGCGCTGTTTGACTGATCTCACAACAGATCTCACAACAGGCTGCCAGCAGCGCCTTATCGCCCGGTCAAAGGTGAACTGAGCGCAGCGTCACTGATAACAGTCAGACTCACGGCCCGTGAACAGATAATGCCTGATGCAGATAACAACTACGAACTACTCACTCCTAGGCTTACGTCGACCACAGTGCGGCTCAGCTCGAAGGTAACTAAACTAATTGCCGCAACAACAATGCACGAGTATAATATGTAATATGGGCAAGTGTTTCTCAGCTTCACACTAGTCATCTGGGTTGTGAACCGTGTGTATATGAGCTACTTTTTCAAGTGAGTGAGTTATAAAAGGCTACTCTTATTTTATATGATTATATTTCTTGAATGACATATAAGATGGAGCAGATATATTCCTCTATATATGCATGAACATAATTCTTTATATAGTAAAATCTGTTTATAACGAGGCTCAAGGCAAGTTATAAAAGATTGTCTAGGGACCAGATTTTTCGTCGTAATAAGCGTACGGACGCTATAAACGGAATCTTTATAAGCGGATTCTACTGTATATGTTTTTATATTTGTATATGTATGAATACATTTATAACAGCTCTAAACCTATATATCTAGAACTATTATATATTCAGAAATATATAGAACTTTTATACATTCAAATATGTCTATGTATATATAAAACTTATAACGATCTTCTAACCAAAAAGAAAGCACAAATTTGTATTTGTAAATATAAAAGCACCTTTCTTTGCGATTCTCATGACGGCTAAATATCAATTGTATTTTTAGCCTTTTACATTACCAAGGCACTATATATATAAACATATGTCTTTATATAACAACAATTTCTAAAACTTGAAAACTTTTATTAGAAGCCCCAATTTTGCTGCACAGTGTTTGCAATCGCTGTCAGTGCTCCAAAAGGCACGTATATCGACACGCTTATCAAGCTGACTAGTGGCTGGGGCACTGTACAGCTGCTTGAACAGACACAGAGGCTTACAGATAGACAGACAGTCGGACAGACGGAGAGATGGACGGACTGAGCAGCAGACAGACGAATTCTTGTCAGTCACAAGCTGTGCGCACGTCGGAAATTTGAGACGATTCCCGCGAGAGAAGTGCACTTCAGTCTTGAATGCAGCGACTGTGTGCAGCGCAGTTCGAAGCTGTCAATATGCCAGGCCACGACGACAATTGCACGGCTCATTTGCGGGCACATATGTCAACGGCAATGGCAACAGCAACAGCAACAGCAACAGCAAGAGCAACAATAATTCTAACAAATTTGTGGACAAAGGGAAAAATGTGACAACACGAATGTGAAGCAGTCAAAAGGCAACAACACAAAAAGAACCCGACCCCGACACGCTTTAACAACACTTACGCCTCACGACGCGTCGCAATTTGATGCCATATTTTGATCATGCCCAAAGGAGCCAATTAAATGAGCAACTAAATATATCAGATACATTTTCGGATGCAAAACATGTTTTTTAGCGCTCAAATGCAAACAAGTTTTTGCCCCAAAAAATAAAGCCAAATAAAAATTGATAGAAAAGTTTTGCGGCCAGCGCATAATTAAGAGACGCTCAGTCAAACTTTGATGGAAACACGTTTTCCGCTATCCTCAGCGCATTTCATTTCGGTTTTTCTTTTTTTTTTTCGTGTTCGTGTTTTATTTTCTGTTAATATATTTTGCATAAATTATGAATGTTTTTTCTCTCTGTTTCCGCATTTCCCTTGGCCTTTTTATCGCCAGCGACTTTGCGCCTTTATCAAAGTCCACTGAACGGTGAATCAACAAAAAACCAAAAGCAAAACCAAAACAGAATTAATTCATTAAAGAAATATGCAAAGTATTAAAAAAAAATTACCAACATCTTGCCTGATGGGGTGCCAGAATACAGAATAAAAAATAAAAAATAAAAAAACTGGAAAAAAATGAAATTTATGTTTTATTACTTAATGAACTTACCGCAAATTAAGCCAAGGGTGGCCGGAAAAAAGAAGAAGAAATACAGCCAAGTCCGAGCTGGTCTCGCCTGCCCGTCTTCAATTAATATGCAAAAAATGTCAACAGCAACGGCTGCCAGCGAGAAAGTGAGTCCAGTCTGTCAGCTCAGTGTGATGAAAGCAAATTGGTTAGCAATTAAAGACAAGTTCTTTTAATTGAACACGTGATCAAGCAGCTGGCCAAGGCGTGAAAAAGGGTTAATCAAGTGGGGATTAAGTATCCTGCGTTTAAAAAAAAACAAGTAAGAAAGCTCCAGTCGAGACTGCTCGACTAGGAGATACCCTGAACCCTCTAAGCTGATATTCTAATCATTCTGSACTTCTTTTATGCACACATACATACAGATGCATCCACACTTACGCATAAGCCTGCGCTCTGCTAACTGCGTAGTAAGCAGCGGCTGCGCTTGGGCTGCGCTGCAGTGTGGGCAATATTATGAGAATTTATTTGTCGAATAATTTCTTTTGTAGACGTACGATCTTAATGAAACTTTCAGAATATAATCATATGGTGAATATGTGTGTACATTCCAAAGCACAAGTCTCTAGTACTTGAAATGCGTTTTTTACAAATTGGGGGAGAAGGGGGCGTGGTATCCAAAATCTGTAAGTTACAAAATCTTTGTATCGATTAACTTTATATACAACACAAATTTGAAGACTCCAGATCTAAAAATGTTCAAATTAGGCTAAAAAAACAAAATCAATTTTTCGATTATTCTCGATAAAAAAGTTATCGGACGATTTATCGAAAAAATAAAGCAAACTCGTACTGCGTATGGTACACACGAGTATGCATGCCAAATTTCAGCTCTCTAGCTCTTATAACTTCTGAGATCGACGCACTCATACGGACGGACGGACGGACGGACGGACGGACGGACGGACGGANACATATAAATATAAATTAAATAAATTAAAAATTAAATAAAATTTGCATATAGTTAACCGATTTCTTAATTTATTAAACATAACAAAAACTTTAAAGCATGAAGAAATTGTTCAGATTACAAAATCTGAAATTGCATAACAGTTCAAATGTGATTCGCACTTTTAATGGGGAATATTAAAACAATATCGGGAGGGGGCACGAAAGTAATTTGAGGAGCATGAAAGCATTTGGAGAGTTGATGCCAAGAATTTGCCAAAGCAAATGCTGGCCATCATTTGCGGGCCAAATGTAGCTTGTGATTTGCGCAGATTTGGGCAATGCCGCTGGCACGCCCCCTGCCTTGCCTAGCATCAATGGGCAAGAGAACGGGGGAAGCGGAGGCGATGAACTTGGGCAAATCACCTCAAGCGTCATAAAAAGTCAAATGAAATAAAAGCAAAAGCCGCTCCAGCTAGCAGACAAAAACGAAAAAATAATGAGTACATTGAGATGGAGCCGGGCCAGGCCATCCAAACGGTTGAGTACTACTGCGACGACACTCGTATCGTGAGGATTTTTATTTCTTGGAATAATCTGGGAGCGAGCACACGACTAATCTTCATTTAATTTCATTTGCGCCAGCAACTGAAATTGAAACCGAAATCGCAATCGCAGCTGGAACTGGAACTGGAGCTGGCGTTGGAGTTGGAGTTGGATGCTCGGGGTCGAGATACCTTGGACTGGCAAGGACAATGTAAGGACATTGCGAGCGCCAGCCAACTGCTTGGCAAGCGAACTGAGGGAAGGAGAGTGGCAGGGATTTGTAACATTTCATTGGCTGTGGAAGCGCTGGTGGCGTCAAGGAGATCAAAAGTATGCGACACCGTGGCTTAATTCGATTTTAACAATTGCATGGCTGCTCGCACAGCCAATGGCAAACGACCAGCCACGTCTCTCCCAGCCAGCGGACTCTAATTGAACGCCGAGCTGGAGCTGAAGCTGAAGCTGGTCCTGCTTGGCGCACATAAAACTAATCCGACGTGTGGCGCCGGCAACTTCGTCAGCGTCTTCAACAATTTGAATTTAAATGTCGTCTTGCTTTTTTATTTCTATTTTTATATCTGTTGTT